ACCTCTAGCATATTAGCATATCAGAGCTCATGCTGGCCCCAGGTTCCTCCAGTACCTGTTACACATTTCAAAGTCCATGCTGGAATCTCACCTCTTTCCTGGCCCTAAACTCTTTCCAGCTCTCAGACTTCCCTCCCCAACAACCCTGAGCTACCGTTCTCCTTACAGCCTGCTCTTCTCAGTGTGCTCCCCCCTCTCCCCTCTCCCGGTTCTCTTGATCTCTACCCCCATTGCTCTTCCCTCTTGCAGACAGCCCTGGCCACGTCCTGTATGCAGGCCACGTTCCGTCTACTTCTTTCTCTTTCTGCTCCAGACTCTTCCAAATAAAAACCTTCCCCTTAACCATACCATGGAGCAGCTTCCAAGTCAGAATGCGTAAGGAAATTTCTTTGTTCCCATGTAGAAAATACAATTTACAGTAGCTTACCTGATTCGAAAATGTGCGAACATCAAAAAAAGCTATAACGGAGCCGTATTCACTGGACACCATGCATGCAGAGAGTGTGAGGTTGTCACAGCTCAGTGCCAGGTGATGTACTGGGAATTTCAGAGCAACATTCAAGCTGTCGACTGGCTCAACTACAAAAACAGAAAAGACAAAACAAAAAAGAATGTTCTAGGCACACAGCCATAATCCTTTATCCAAGTCAATTTGAAACATTTTCTCATCTATACAAACATATACCCTTGGATCCTTAGTTATAGGAAATAATTTTAACTTTCCTCCTAACTGGTTTTCTTTTTCTTTCTTCCTTTTTTTTCCAGACAGGGTTTCTCTGTGTAGCCCTGGCTGTACTGGAACTCACTCTGTAGATCAGGCTGGCCTCAAACTCACAGAGATCCACCTGCCTTCACCTGCAGGGATGGGGCTGGGATTGAAGGTGTGTGCCACTACCGACCAGCTTAACTTTCCTATAAGGAGGTACTGAAGCAGTAAATATCACAAGACTTCCTACTGCCCTTGTGAAAATGCTTTTACTACAATGCCCCAAATACACATTCCCATCTGTTGGGGTGGTTCTGGCATGCCTTCTCACAGACAGCCAGAGTCCAACTTCAACTGCGCAAAAGAAAAGTGCGGCACAACAGCACCTTCTTCTTTCCGGATCTTAGAGAAACAACTCATAGAAACAAGCACAGAGGGCTGAAGAGAAAACTCAAAGGCTTTTGGCATCCTACCTGGACTCTGGCACCCTACTTTACAAAGCACTCTTAATTCCAAAAGCAATTTTAATTTTCACATTAATATTGTGTCTTGGGGAGTTGGAGAGATGGCTCAGCCAGTTAAGAGTACTAGCTATTCTCCCAGAGGATCTGGCTTCAATTCCCAGCACTTGATCTTCTGTGACTCTAGTTCCAGGGGATTGTACACCCTCACACAAACATACATGTAAGCAAAACACCAATGCACACAAAATAAAAATAAAATTATTGAGCCACGCATTGGTGGTGCACATCTTTAATCCCAGCACTCGGGAGGCAGAGGCAGGTGAATCTCTGTGAATTCGAGGGAAGCCTGGTCTACAAGAGCAAGTTCCAGACAGGCTCCAAAGATACAGAGAAACCCTGTCTCGAAAAACCAAGGGGAAAAAAAAAGTGTCTCAGGAAGGAACTACATCAATTAGCATGCCACCACAGCCCTATCCCTGCTATGCCATATAAACTAAAGTGCTTACCAATTTTATTGGGATCATCTCCAGGTCTGTTTTGGATAAGAAGACTTTTAGTAGGAAAAACATGCAAGCCACCGGCGCCACCAGCAAAGAGCATACCATACTTATTGGATATGGCAAGCATACTCGAGCGCGCCTTGGGCAACTCTTCAGGAGAGTCAAAGATCCTTACTTTCTTCAGTGCTCTAAACTGAAAGTCCTGTTTTGAAGGATGAAACAGATCAATTTTCAGGAAGGAAGAAATTAAATCATGTTCACTGTTACAGTCCATAAACACAATCTCAGTATTAACAAAAATGCACTTATTACCAAGGCCAACAATTTCCTGCTTTTAGACTCTATATTCATTAAGATTTGTTGAATGAAATACAGAGAGGTGGAGAGGGTTCAGTGGTTAAGAGAACTGGCCGCTCTTCCAGAAGATCTGGGTTCAATTCCCAGAACCCACATAGAAGCTTACAAATGTCGGTAACTCCAGTTCCTAGGGATCTGACAGCTTCACACTTTGTTAATCTCTAATCACTTGGTTAAGCTGCATCTGTCTCCCCACCCCCAACTCCCCAAACCCATCTTTAAATCAGGGTTTTTGTGAAAAGAATGTGACAGACACAAGAGAAAATTTATTCCCATAGAGCTTTATGGTTTCATAAAGGGTATCTAGCAAAATACTAATTTCCCTGTAGTCCATGTTTAATTCGTATTTACTCAAAGGTAGACTGAAATATTCTTAAGTGAATAGAGTGGGCAAAGGTTCATACCACTTTCCCCGTGGGACCACACTATGGGTTCATAAAGGAATAAATCATTTATATTTTTGTGATTTTCATCCTAATAGTCATGACTATACTACTAGATCTTGATGGCCTTTGTGTGGAGAGCCACTAAGACGAGGCAGTACAAAAAAGCTCTCCTTTCTGCTACTGACAGTAGCTCAGACACCACTATATTCACCCTGTGGTTCTAAGGCTTCTCTACCTCGGTGTTATCTGAGGGACAGGACCCATGTCCATCATGGGGCTCAGCACAGGCACTGATGCTCAAGAAAGGGCCACTGTTTCTAAGCACGGTCTGGACCACTCTCCCATATGTTCGTTTTAGTGATTCACTATTCACACAAATGTCTAACACCCTCCTGTACCTCACTCATTTCCAGATGTCTACCATTCTCTGTGTTTTCATTCAGTCAGATTATATACACGTCAACTATTAACACAGTATCCAGAAGTGCGGGAGAGGGTGTCCACCTTATCATCAGAGACACTTGCCTTTCCTCTAGTTTCTTGACTTCAAGCTTATTTCCTGTGTCAAACTTTCTATTCCGACTAACTAGGGGTTTTGGAAAGCAGAAAGTGTATCTTGGTTCCATCTTGGGTAGTGTGGACCACCTCCAAGTATCAGGAAACTGACAACTAAGAAGTGAGGGTTTACGCCAAGTGTGGTGATGCATGCCAATAATCCCAGAAAGTGAGAGGTGGGGACAGGGGTATCAAGAGTCCAAGGCCAGCCTCCAGTAGACAGAGTTAGAAGCCAGCCTGGACTACAAGAGACCCCGTCTAAAAGATAAGACATGAGACTTCAGCCACGTGACTGTGGAGAATTTACTTTCTGAACTTCAATTTGCTCCCTTGATGAGCTAGTTGTAGAAGTTACAACCGTGTCGACGGCCACGGCACCTCGCACACAACAAACAAGGTCGTTGTTACTCCTAAGGCGACCAGCACATGGGAGTAACTGGGGTAACTGAAGAGGCGTGGCCAAGCCCACCCAAGGACATGTGAGCTGCACTAGGAGAGAACTCATGCCCGCGACACGCACAGGCGAGCGCTCTGAACCCGGCAAACTGCTGGAGCAGCAGGCGGAGGCGGGGGAGGCTCCAGGGCACCTCCAGGACTACCGCCGGCAGGGAGGCCACGGCCAATCTCTAACCTTCATCTCCCGCTCAGGGACTATGGCATCCATATCGTCTCCCATCCTGCAGCCTTCAAAGTGACCAAGTAGCTGCTGCTGCCGCCCGCGGCCTTTCCAATACAGCCCAGGCCGCTCGGGCCCCAACTTCCTTCCCTTAGCGCCAGCGGCGCGCGGGAGATGCGCGTTTCCGGCGCGCATTGCTGACGTCAACCACGCCGGTTTGTCGTGCGGTCGGACGGAGTCGACCCCGGGATCATTTGAAGTCGCGCGCTTGCCCGTCTACCGGGCCCCATTGGCCAGTTCCGCGTAGGGGGTGTGGCCGAGGCGCGCGCAGGCGCCCTGCCTCTCCCCTACTGCAGAACGCACATGCCCGTTTTGTGTGCATATGTTTCATTGGGTGGCGCACGCTTTGTCGTTCCAAGACTCTGGAAAATTCCCCACAGCGCTCGTCTGCAGGGCTTCAGACTTAGAGAAGTTAGGAACTTGAAACTGTTTCCAGGGGACAGCTTTGAGAGGTTTTGGAAGCGCGGGCAGAAAGGCTGTTAAGTTGGTGGACTGGCGTGTTCCGGTGCTGAACCCCTCTTGCCCAGAGCTGAAAATGAGGAGCAAAAGGGGCAAAAGATATATTTTACTTATTGTTTTCAAGGTAATCGTTTAAGAGCAAAAGCCATATCTACTTCACATCGCAATTTGTGCGTTAACTTCAGTGTCTCCTTTAGCCTTCAAGGTAATTTCTAGTCACCTGGGGGTTTGGTAACTTAATCAATAGCCAGTTATGGTGGTGCGTGTCTGTCATCTCAGCTCGTGGGAGGTGGAGGCCAGAGGACCAGGAACTCATGGTTATCCTCGAATGGCAATCTCTAACTATCCTGGGTTACATGAGACCCTGTTTGAATAAAAACCAATTGTTTAGTTAATGAAATAAGGGAATTCCACACAAAGCAGTTGCCAAATTATCCAGTGACTCTCAGCCAGGATGTACTAACTGATGTTAAAGCAATTTCTGGAATGATAAATGTATAGGTTTTCAGCCCCAGAAGACACATTCCCTCATGTGCTGTTTTTCAGCAAGCTGTTTATGTGCGCCAAGCCTCTTCTCATTATAAAATGACGTAAGTAGAAGTGGAGCCAGGCGTAGTGGCCGCATGTCTTCAATCCCAGCACGGGCAACCTCTGCGTTTGAGGCCTCCTGGTCCACAAAGCAAGTTGGGGCACAGCTAGGGCCGCTACACAGAGAAATCATGTCGAGACGCCCCCCTCCCCAACCCGGGCCAAAAAAGAGAAAGAAGTAGACATGGGTCGTAGGCTTATTCAGGTGAAGTCAACTGTCTGGCTGAAAGGGACACCCTCATTCAACTGGTACCTGTGTCCGCTAGCTCTTCTGAATTTACTGAGTCCAGAGAAACACAAAGACAATGGTAAGTTGATCTAGTTTATTTTAATCTGCAGCAGACGATATCCCATACATACACTCGAACACACATAATACCACTCATCCATATCTACCTGACACATGTCTCGAGTCGCAGGAACAAAGCCATACTTGGCTGTCCCTATGTGGCTGGTTACACCAGTTAGATTTGGTCTTTTTCGGGAATGATGACAGCTAGCTTCCCAAGAAAATTAAGCCCATGACCAGACAGGTTAAGTACCCTGGAGCCAATAGATACAGCTTGAAATATATGCAAACTCCTCCCCCTAAGGGTTATTCTTAAGACTTCCCAGGGACTCACAGGGTCCCCTCCCAGTTAGAGCACCTCTTCCTGTACCTTGCAGAGGTCCAGGCACACTCCTTTGCTCTCCTTTATGGAGGTGGTGTGTAACCTCATGAGTTGTGGACCCACTGAACCTGACTGGTTCTGCCTTCCTGTCACAGAGAGTTGGACACATTGAGTAGAGTCCAAGGTCCCAATCCAGCTGGAGAATGAGGCAAAAGGAATGGGGAGACATGCTAATCTTAAAATTAAAAAAAAAGCCAATCGATGAGGTGAGGGTAGGCAGGATTTTATATTTACAGGGAGGAATGCTGGGGTTAAACATCAACTAGACTACATCTGAAGCAGCTGTAAGGCTGAAAGTCAGCCAGTCATAGCAAAGAAAAGATCTCTCCTGAGCCGGACTGGTTGGGACCAGAGGATTAACCAGAGCTAGCCATTTCATGCTGTTTGCTTCATTCTCGAGGTGTTGTGGGATCAGCATCCTGGGTACTGGGCTGTGGGACTGGAAAACCACACTAGCTTATCAGTTCCCAATCTCTTTCCACTTAGGGTTTAAGCTCTCCTAACTCTTGCCAAGCCGTGAGCTGGCCGGAATCCCTGGGACGACAGGGTATTGAGCTGCCACTCTCTGCCCCCCATTTCCTAACATCACACTGTCGCTGACTGGGTGTGACTCCCCAGTAGACATAAATTTCGTGTGTCAGTCCATCTCACTGTTGGGTTCAGGACTCAGGGCATATAGTGGGGTGCTTAGTAAACGTGTTTGATAAATGACTGTCTTGTCCTGAGTGCCCAGAGTAAAAGATTTCAGAAAACAGGCAGAGTCGAGGCTGGGGTCCCCACTCAAGTAAGATGGGCCAAGTTTGATACTTCGCTGCAAGAATTCTTAGAAACGGTCTCTGAGGACCAGTCAAGAAGCTGTGGGGAAGCTGGGCGTTGGTGGCGCACGCCTTTAATCCCAGCACTTGGGAGGCAGAGGCAGGCGGATCTCTGTGAGTTCGAGGCCAGCCTGGTCTACAAAGTGAGTTCCAGGACAGCCTCCAAAACAATACAGAGAAACCCTGTCTCGAAAAACCAAAAAAAAAAAAAAAAAAAAAAGAAGAAGCTGTGGGGAAGACAAACTGCAGAGGTAGGCTTGGTCCTTACCCAAACCCCACTGCCAACTCGAAGGCCCTCGGGAGGGTGAGGCCTGACCCAAGGTCTTTACAAGAGATGGCATCTTCCTCGAGTGTCAGGCTGGGAGATAGTCCTCTTCACCCTTCCCCGGAGCTCCTGGGCTCCATTGTATACTCTCCTATCTCTAGATGAACCCCCTGACCTTTCATCAAGGCACGTAACTCCCGTAGGCCAGCAAGTGAAATGAGGGGACTAGCCCAGCTGAAACCTGCCAAGTAACCTCAGTCCAGTCCCCAGACTCCAGGGTTTGAGTGGCTTGAGAAGGAAGCTGTGCGTTGGACACAGCACACGTCAAGACAAAGCAGGAGGACTTAAAGCTTGTGATGGGTACTTGACAGATAACTGCTGACTGGGTGACTGAAGGAAGGACCAGTCGGGTAGGAACCTAAACAGCCGAATTTGGGCCATTTTATGACCAGACAGCTTGCCACTCTGAGACTCGTCATGATCACATGACTGCTCCTCTGTGGGCGCCCTCAGCACCCTCCCTGGGAGTGGGGCTTCCCTAAGCCACTCTCTTCACCTGTGCCCTAGCAAGGGACATTGGAACTGCACCATCCCTCTGGGTTGTCTGCAAAGGTGCGGTCGAGAGAGTGAAGCCAGAAGTCCCTTCTGGTTCTTCTGAAGGACGCTGCGGTGGTCGCTCTTTCCTCCCCACCTTGAGTCACGTCAAAGAGGACAGTCGCAAGGACCAAGGGGAAGCAGTTGTGTCTGTGAGGCACTCATGAACCCTGGAAGCATGAAGTCGTGCCCTGGAGCTTTGTGCCTGCTCAGGATCTTCTGAGAGTGGGGGAAGAGAGGGACCCACCAGGGTCAAACCTGCAGCCTGAATTTAGCATAGAAGCCTAGAAAGAGGCTGGGCAGTGGTGGCACACGCCTTTAATCCCAGCACTTGAGAGGCAGAGGCAGGTGGGTCCCTGTGAGTTCGAGGCCAGCCTGGTCTACAGAGCGAGTGCCAGGACACCCATGGCTATTAAAACCAGAAAACAAACAAACCTAGAAAGATGAACTGATGGATGAGACCCTCTTCAGACATGGGACTCAGATTCACAGCCTCCATGCCCTCTCTAGTTTTTGGTTTGATGTCAGCCCTTCCGTATAGGGAAGGCAGGGCAGCAGGAAGCAGAGAGGAGGGGCCCTGAGGCCAAGATTCCCCAGTTTCATTAAGGCAGGTAACATGTGCTAAGACAAAACACAGACAACAGATCACAACACATTGAGAAAGCAGGGAGAGCAGAAGGGGGGACGGCAGCCCGGAAGGTCCAAGTGGGTCCTCAGGGCAGGCTGGCAATGTCTCTTTCTGGAGGCGGGCCAGCTGGCTTTGGGCTGCTCTCATTGGCTTTTCCTTCGAACATCATGACCCTGGTTTAGAGATGAAGAAAAGAAAACAAAAACAAAGGGTTAAGACTCTTCCCCTCATGAGGAGATCTCCCCAGCCTTGACTCTGCAGGGTCCTCAGCAAAATTCCCTCAAGGCTATTTCGGGAAGAGCCTCATGAAAGATCACACAGGCTGCTATGTGGAAGGTGCTGGCGGTCCTATTTCACAGAGGAAAAAGATGGGGTACAAAGAAACTCCTCCACTGCTCAGGTGAACAAGGGACAACCCTCTAGGCCTCTGGCTTCCAGACCCATGCCCTCCTTTTTCCTAGCTGCTTGTAGAAGAATGGGTTGGGCCAGAGCTCAAGAATCCCATTAGATCTTTAAAAAACTCCTCATTGACTGGTCAATGGTGGCCTTTAATCCCAGGACTTGTGAGGCAGAGGCAAATGGATCTTTGGAAGTTCCAGGCCAGTCTGATCTCCACAGAGTTCCAGGCCAGCTAGAGCTACATAACAGAGAGGCCCCATCTCGAAGGAATGAAGGAACAAAGACCGGCCTACCCTGCCTCAACAAAACCAAACCAAACCAAACCCTTCCCCACTGTGCTACAAGTCCAGTCCACTCTAAAGGAGACTATGCAGATTTGATGAGGGGTGTTTCTCTTATTGGTTGATGAATAAAACGCTGACTGGCCAGTAGTGAGGCAGTAGGCCAACACTAAATGCAGTCTCCCCAAAAGAGGAGACTGCCATTTTCAACCTATGAAGATGGAGGTTTCTGTTCTGCCTAGTCCTGCAGTTGATTAGCCCCAAATAAACACACAAAGACTTATACTAATTTATTAACTGTTTGACTTTGGCTTAGGCTTCTTATTAGCTCTGTCTTAATTATTAACCCATTTCTATTAATCTATGTATTGCCACAAGGCTGTGGCTTGCCCGGGAACCCACCATGTTACTCCTTCAGCAGCATCACATCTGTCCGCCTTTCTCTCTCCTCTCCCCAGAATTCTCCTCAACTTGTAGCCCTGCCTATAATTCTGGCCTGCAGGCATACGTGCAGTACAGGGTACTGTGTATATAATGAACAGAGAGGGGGGGGGGAGGGGGAGAGAGGGGGGAGGGGGAGAGAGAGGGGGAGGGGGAGGAGGAGGAGGAGGAAGAAGAAGAAGAAGAAGAAGAAGAAGAAGAAGAAGAAGAAGAAGAAGAAGAAGAAGAAGAAGAAGAAACCCAGTGTAACAAAATGCTATTTAAAAAAAAAAGACAGAGGCCGGGTGGTGGTGGCGAACACCTTTATTCCCAGCACCTCTTTGAGTTCGAGGCCCAAAACAATACAGAGAAACCCTGTCTCGTAAAACCAAAAAAAAAGAAAAAAGAAAAAAAAAAGAAAAAAAAAAAGACAGACAGGCAGAACCCTAGGGTTCGCTCTCCAGGCAGCCTATTTGGCAAGTTCCAGACCACCAAGAGGCCCTGTCTCAAAGAAAAACAAACAACATGTTCATACAAAATGGGCTCGGAAGCCAGTCCCTTGACCATCTTGGGCCTCGGTGAACGCCTTGAATGACTGTGTGCATGTGTGTAAAAGCCAGAAAACAGTCTCGGGAATCACTCCTCAGATGACTCCTTTGTTTGTATTTGTTTGTTTTGGTTTTTTAAGGTTCATTATGTACACAGGCATACACATACAAGGAAAAGAGCCAGAGTTCAAGGACCAAAGATAACCTGCTCAGGATCATTAGGGAACAGGGAACAGTGTCAGGATTAAAACTAGAGTTGACTTTTTCCAGGAGGGAATGGTGAAAGGGGTTTGAGATAGATAGGTCTCAGGTAACCCAGGCTGGCCTTAAATTTGCTATGTAGCTTAGGATAGCCTTGAAACTCCTGTCCTTCCTGCATCTGCTGCCTTAGTGCTAAGAATACAGAGGTGCCCTACCATACCCAGCTAGAGCTGATTACAGACTCTGTCAACTAACAACAACCAAAAGAGTAGGAATATGCTTTACAAAGGAGGAAACCGATTCAGAATATGTTGACAATCGGGGTAGGGTGTAGCAAAATGGCTAGAGCATTTTCCTGCCATGTACAAGGCCCTGGATTCGATTTCATGCATCTCATACAAAAGGAAGGGAGGGAGGGAGGGAGGGAGGGAGGAAGGGAGGGAGGGAGGGAGGGAGGGAGGGAGGGAGGGAGGAGTGAGTAACCATAGGTCCAGTCTGATACTGCATGCCTATAATTTCAGCACTTGGGAGGCTGAGGCAGGAGGATTGACACGACTTTTGAGGCAAGCCTGGGCCACCCAGAGAGTAACTGACCAACCAGGGTTACATGGGGGTACACAGTTAAGACTCGGGAAAATCCCATCTCAAAAAATTAAAAAAAAAAAAGCCAGGTAGTAGTGGCACACACCTTTGTTCCCAGCACTCGGGAGGCAGAGGCAAGTGGGTCTCTGTGAGTTCGAGGTCAGCCTGGTCTAAGAGTGAGTTCCAGAAACAGCCAAGACTACATAGAGAAATCCTGTCTCAAAAAACCAAACCAAAACAAAAAGACAGGCAGTGCTGCCATCATTTTTGTCATCCGTGAAGCCTCCAGTCTTGGGGTTTACCATGCACCCCAATGCAAACTAATCTCTCCAGGTAAGGAAAACAGGCTCAGAAAACTCCTGCTCCTCACTCAGCACAATGATGAAAGTGTCCTAAGCCTGGGGCCTCTCCCCACAGGAGGTCCTTGCCTCTGAGACCCCATGGGATGAGGAGGTACTCACAGTTTGAGGACAGCTGACCGTTTGCCCAGCATCATATTCACAAAGTCTCGGTAGGAGATGGTGTCGCTGACACCCCCTGTCACCTCTGAGATCATCTTCTTCATCTCCAGGTGGGTTTTGGGGACCCCCAGCTTCTCCATCATCCTCTTTAAAGACATCAGATCTGCCAGGAGGAAACGCAGATCTATTGAGTGGAGACAGGACACTGAGGCCTGCAGAGAGCCAGAGAATGGCCCATTTCTGCACCACACAGTTAACTGTGACCACCTCTCCCTGAGGGCTGCAGCCAGCGATGATTCCCTTGGGGAGGCAGTAAAGGCTAGTAGGTGGGGACCTGGACTTCTAGAGTCAGACTTGGACTGGGATGCCTGAGGAAGACTGCTTCACCTCTCTGGGATGAGGGATGACACGTGTCTGTTACCACAGCAGCTGGAAGGCTGGGATAGAAGGATCACTGCAAGTTTTAGGCTAACCTAGGCTACATAACGAGGAAGGCCTAGGGAGACGGCTCAGTCAGTAAGTTGTGCAAGCATGAGGAACTGAGTTCAAAGCCACAGAACCCTAATAAATACTCAGGCACACCACACTGGCACAAGCCTGTGATCCCAGGGATGGGGAGACAGAGACAAGAGGATCCCAGAGACTCACTTCCAGCCTAGCCAAGTCTATAAGCCTCAGGTCCAAAACAAAGAAGCAAACAAATAAGTAAATAGGAAATCAACTTAAAAGACCCTGATGCCAACCTCTATTCTACACACAGCCACACACAGGTGCACGTATATAAGTGTGCTCACACACTTGAACACACACAGACCCATCAACACAGTTGGTTTGAAGGAAAAAGAAAAAGGAAGAAATTGTTTTTAGGCTTATGTAGACATGATATATTCCATGCTCTCCCAGTAGGTCCTCTGTGTTAGGGTGAGCCAAGGTGCTTGAGAGTTATTCTGACCCTGAGCATTGAAAGTCCAACTTTCTCTGGCACAGCTCAGCAGAAACCATTGCCACCTGCCACTTCCATTCGGCTGTTGGAGGACTCTCCCGAGGTTAGAAAGGACAGGGAGCCAAAATAGCCCTTAGAGCAGGAAAACAAAAGACAAAATAGAAGGAAATAAGGGAGGCACCAGAAAGTCATTCCACCGCAGGGGAGCTCACCAACATCTGAAGCTATCTCCTAGGAATTGCTCACAGTGAACAATGGATCAGCAAGCCAGGACTCACAGGGACAGACCCTGGGACTGTAAGCAGGGCTGAGGTAGGCTGAGGTAGGCTCCTCCGTGGAAGAGCGGTCAGGGCACACACTGCCCACCAAACTTAAAACTGGCAAAAGACATGTGGCATGGGGCTTCTGAATGCCCTGACCCACCGTGTCTTTTTCACTGGTGAGATTTACCCTACAGATAACCAGTGAGGGGACCAGGTCCATCTGGAGTGATGGTCACTGTGAGCTGATCAATGACAGTTAAAACAGAAAATAATAGGTTGGCAAGATAGCTCAGCAAGATGGGTAAAGGTGTCTGCTGCCAAGTCTGACACACTGAGCTTGATCCCTGGAACCCACATGGTAGAAGGAGGGACTTGACTCCCTCAAGTTGTCCTCTGACCATCAAACACATGCCGTAGTAGACCAGCCCCGACACGCAAATAATAAATGTAATTAAAACTTTTTTAAACTCAGAAAGAGTAACCCAAATGTGGAAGTGCAGGCCTGTAAGTGCATCCTGTGTACCAGGAAGGCTGAGGAAGGAGGATGGCTTGAGGCCAGCCTGAGCTATGTAGTGAATTCTAGGTCAGCCTTGACCAGAAAAACGAAAACCCCCAAAACCCGCTGAAGACACAGCTTAGTTGGTAGAGTGCCTACTATGCACGTAGCCCTAGATCCATCCCTTACCCCATATAAAGCGAGCAAGGTAGTGCACACCTGTAATCCCCACACTGGGACAGAGAACGATCAGACATACTGAGTTACAGGCCAGCCTGGACTACCAAGAGACCCGCCTAAAAACAAACACACGCACTCATCTGAAGTCTGAAATTCTAAAAGTTGGCTGAATGCATCTGAGTCCATTCGCGCAACGGACTACCTTGGGCGGGGACAGAGCAACAGAAAACCTGTTCAGCAGCAAAGGCGCGGCTGAGCCCACACCTCTCTGAGTCCTGCTTTTCTCATCCACAAACTGAGGGTGAGCAGCCAGGACGAGATGGTCCAGCCCTGCTGGTGAAGATCAAACTACAGTTTCCCACCAGGATGTGTGCCTGGACTTTCGTGCCTCTGTCAACCCATGGCGGGAAGCAATGGGTTCTGCTGGAGCGGAGAGGCAGTGTCTACACCCCTGTCAACTGCAGGACAAGGGACAACGGCGGGCACAAAGCAGACTTGGAGAGACTGAGGCAGCAGTCCCTTGGCCCAGGAGGCAAGCAGACGCTGCAGGCCTGGCTGGGATGGAGCCCTAGGTCCTAGCGTGGGAGGTGGAGGACCCAGCAGGGAGGCACACCATGAGGATTGTCAGGTAGTAGAGCTAGGTCAAGACATGGAAAGATGGGAGGCAGAGGCAGGCAGATCTCTGTGAGTTCGAGGCCAGCCTGGTCTACAGAGTGAGTTCTAGGACAGCCTCCAAAACAATACAGAGAAACCCTGTCTCGAAAAACAAAAAAACAAAAAAACAAAACAAAAGGCATGGAAGGAACCAGGGTGGGCTGGGCTTGAGGCAGGATAGAAAGATAGAAGATGAAGGGGTTTGAGGAAGGAGAGGAGCCCCTTGGCCCTGAGGACATCCCTGAAGTCACATACAGGCAGAGTCAAGAATTTCAACCCGAATGACAAAAAAAAAAAAAAAAAAAGAAAGAAAGAAAAAGAAAAAGAAAAGAAAATGAACATGGTTGTGAAGACTTCCTGAATAGAGGCAGTATTCCAGTCCCTGAGAGATTCCTATCAGACACACAGAACAGCAGGCCAGTCGTGCTCACCGTCGGAATGTGTGTGACCCCTGAGGTTAACTTTACCAGCACACCCTGTTGTCTGTTCTGAGAAAAACCTCCCAGACAAGATCACAAGCTCTGTTTACAGTCGGAACACATCTTGACCTCCTAGTGACCTGTGATGGTCAGAATTCATTGACCTTTGTGACCTACACTCCTATCTTTTTAGCCCCTATAAAACCTCACTTAGGACAAGACAAATCCTTCAGATTTTTTACTTAATCTTTTAAACTTAGATATTTATTATACCCTTTGAATAAAGTAATCTCAAAGATCACCAAAATCATATAAATAACTATTGTTAAGCTACTCCTTCCTCTCTTGGAAGCTTCTGTCTTGTGTAACTTTCTCTTAAGAAAACTACTCCTTCCACTACTTTCTATTTTTTTATTGTTTTAAGAAATTACGTGTATGTGTGTGTGTGCACATGAGTACAGTGCCCACAGAGGCCACCAGAAGGTGCAAGACTCCCTGGAGCTGGAGTTAACAGTTGTCTGTAAGCCACCTTATATGGGTGCTGGGAATCAAACGCAGGTCCTCTGCAGCTGCAGAGACATCATTCCAGCCATATTTATTTTTATGTATATGAGTGTTTGTTTGTTTGTTTGTTTGTTTTATGTGCACTGTGTGTGTTGTGCCCTCAGAGGCCAGAAGAGAGTGATAGATCCTTCGGAACTAGAGTTATGGTGAGACACCAGGGGACTTCTGGGAAATGAACCCTGGCTGTCTGGGGGGGCGATCAGTGCCTTTAGTCACTGTTATCCCTCCAGCTCCCTGCCCCTTATTTTTTTAATGAAGTGAATTTGGAATTTACTAAAAAGTTTTAACATGGATTCAGTCATGACCATTAAGAGAAGGAGGCGGCGTCAGGGATAGTGGGAGACCCTTCTACTGACAGTGGATCTGCGATTGCAGGTCAGCCATAACTACATAGCAAAACCATGTCGAAAAATAAAAGATAAGTTTAAAAAAATGAAGGAGGGAGGGAGAAAGGAAGTTAAGAGAGGAGCCATAGCCAGCATGATGGCTAAGTAGGCGAAAGTACCTGCCACCAGGCCTGACAACCTGTCTGATCCCAATCCCCAGAACCTATGTGGTAGCAGAGAATCGACTCCGGTTAACTTGTGTCTCCCCCCCCCACACACATACACATATAACAACTCATTCCGAAATTCTTTTTTTGCTGAGTTAATCAAGACCCCAGTGCCCCCCCCCCCCGCCTCAGTGAAAGTCTCTGAAAAGAATTCAGTATTGCCCTGTGTCCCCTGCTGCTGCTAGTGACAGGGTGGCCAGAGCATTGGTCCCATTAGGGACATATTAGGGTGTTCTTCAGTCTCACCCCGTGCCCCTCACCACACCAGCAAGGCTCTTTGGATCTCAAGCCTCAACACCAAGGTTTCACTCACCAATCTCGCCTTCATTGTTCAGGTCAAACTCCATGTATTTCTCTGGAAATCACAAGCAAAAGCTGCCGTTAGTTTGGAGGCCACAGCTCTCCCTGCAGAGCCCAGTGACTCCCTAGAGCTGACTACATCCTTGGGGAGCCCTTGACACCCTCCCCAGCCAAGGAGTCCTGTCATCTTAGTTCTTGTCTTTGGAAGACAAAAAACTTCTCCTGATACCAGGTAGGCAAGAGTCAGCTATGATGGGGCTGGAGAGATGGCTCAACAGAGGTCCTGAGTTCAATTCCCAGCACCCATATGGTGGCTCACAGCCATCTGTAATGAGATCTGGTGCCCTCTGCTGGCCTGCATGCATACATGCGGGAGGAATGCTGTATAAATAATAAACAAACAAACAAATAAATAAATCTTAAAAAAAAAAGAATCAGCTATGAGGCAACTATAGTGCACGTTGGTAGCCATCTCTCCTGATGGTCACAGTCTTCCTTTGTGGCTAAATATGCTAGGGGATCCAGCTTGGCTGTTCTTGATGTACAAGGGCACCCAGAGACACACGCACGCGCGCACGCACACACAGGATCTGCATCCTCAAAAGATCAAATGCCATTACATTACTTTATATTACTTGTAAAATATATTATATTATTCATATATATACTACATGCTATTGTATCATGGGGTTGATACTAGCCTCCCCTCCCCTGTGGGATTTTCAATACGCTCATGGGAATACCCTAAAATGAAGATCTGATCTACTATAATTTGGATTTCCTTTCCCCATGAATATGCCACCCACCTCATGAATATTCATAAAAACTTCTTTGTATTCTACAAAGCAAAAGCCCACTCCAATCTCTCTTTGGAATGTTTGCTTTGCTCCGTCTTGATGAATCAAGTTCTGTTTAAACTGTCTACATCTCTTGGTTGAATTTTGTGTGTGTGTGTGTGTGTGTGTTTGCATGTGTATGATGTGTGCGTCTGGGCATGCATGTATGTGGAGATCAGTGAACCACTTTGAGACGTCACTTCTCTTCCCTCTTTCCATGGGTTCAAAGGATTGAACTCAGGTGTGTGTGGGGGGGGGTGTGGCCAATGCTTCTGTCTGCTGAGCCATCTCACCATTACTGGACAGAATTCTTTCTAAAAGAACCAGAATCTACAATATTCCTGCTTGCACCATTGACTTACAGGCACCCTGAGGGAAAGGCAGAAATGGGCCATGCTGACCCTAAGGAAGAAGGCAGCTTCCTCAGAGTAGGTTGCAAAGGGAAACAAATTGTGCCCTTGGAGACTTGGACCTAGAGGTGTAGGGAGGGATGGTAGTGGGGCAGGCCTTGGGGTGCCTCCAAGTATCCCAGGAGGTGCTGATGAGCAGGTAGTACAAAAAGCCAGGCTCTGAAACTGAGAGAAGGCTCCAGGGCCCACCCCAGTTCAGAGATGCAAGTGTGGGACCCAAAGCCGGCTGGCCTTGCGATAGCAACTCCCAAGTCAAAGGTTTAGGGAGCCCAGCAAGGAAGGTGGTGTGAGCCAGTTTGATGTCTTCTAACCAGGGGAGTGTGTCAGCAAGTTCTTGTGTAGCTTTGGACATGTCACCCCTACCTCAGCAGAGCAGACCCTCGTGGTCTATTCTGCACCACAGGGAAACCAGAATGAAAGGCGCCCTGCCCCTGCCCCGAGCCAGCCCCTCAACAGGAGTGTCCAGGCTTGCTTGGGCCCCTCCTCAGGACCTCACTCCACTGCCAATGAATGGCTTGAGGACCTTTGGGTCTTTCCCTTTCCAGCTAAACTATACTTCCCTAGGACTCCCTGCTCAACACATCCAGCCTGACCTCCCAATGAAGATATGACTTCAGACCCCAAGATCCTGTTTTCCTTCCTAGAACCCTCCGCAATGAGGAATGGGCCCCTGCGTCCTGTGTATACCTGTCCTGCAGGCCTGCTCTGCTCCCCACTCCATGATACATCAGTTGAGATCTGGGGCTCTAGAGACAGACTGACTGACAAGGGTTGAAATCTCAGCTCGGCCCTAAGTGAGCTATGTGGCCCTCTGCCAATAATCCTACCTCCCCAAGCCTGAGTTTGTTGGTCTGTAAATGAACAGTTTCACCATCTGCCTAATAGATGGGGAGGGGTCAGCTAAGCGCGTTGTCTGTTGTTGAACAGGGCTTTCCATGGGTTGACATTCAGCACCTGCCAGCCACCATTAATTTTACTGCCATTTAGGTCCTGGCCAAGACAACTGCGCTGTGAGCCAGACAGGCAGGCAAGGCACATTGGCAGGTACTTGGCCTTGGGATGGGAAGGATGCCCAAACTGCAAACACTTGGGAGAGGGAAGGACCTCCTGGATATCCTCTGTAGAGCTCAGGGTTCCCATCCCCCAAGTGCACCCCAGAGGCAGGAAAGGTGGGTCTGCCCATTCCTTGTGTGCCCAGGCTCCTCTCCTTTCGAGCCACTGGCAGAGGACCAAGCACCAGAGCCCCGAACAGAGGAACCTTTATACTGCCCCTCTCCCCGCGCAGGCTCCTGAGCCCTGTTTTCCTTTCATGCTGTGCTGTTGGGATTCAATGGGCAGAAACTCTGCCCCCCTGCCCCACTGTAGCAACACAAATGTCTATTCTCCACAGGGGCTCCTGAGAGGCTCAGCCAGGGAGGGGGAGATGCAAGGACAGCTCACAAAGGGGAGATTGTGTGCTGGGGTCCTGGGAGTGCGCAGGGCCTGGATGGGAGGAGAGGAGCCAACCTGAGCCACACTGAGAAGCCACGGGGCTGGGCGGACAGAGGGCAAGGCCAGAGCAGGCCTGCAGCCAGGGGTCCCCAGAGGAAGGCAGAGGAAGGAGAGGCCTGCCCCTGCCTCGTGGGGGACCCATCTCAAAGCCTGATGGGAAGTGCGGCATTCTGGATGAATCCCAGTCCTGTGGGGCCACGGAGCCCTGCGTGCTGTGGGCTGAGGGAGCAGGCAGTTCTTCCGGGGGCAGTTGGGCTCACCTTTGAAGGCTGCAAGCTTTTCTGGCAGGTTCTCTTCATCGCTGTACTTCTGGTCACAGAGGAACTCCTACAGAGGTGAGACCACAGTGCTGAGCCAGGGTTGGGGGCAAAGGTCACCTATAAGCAAGCCACGCAGGGTTCACCCCAGCCTCCTGTGAATCCTCAAGGCAGATCCACAGTCACCCTACCAAGGAAGTGTTCTCTGCAGCTTGGGGGTGGGGCTTACCAGGGGTTCTACTCTAGGGGACCTTCAGGGTCCCCTATGCTATCCCCGGGACATCAAGCTCCCAGGATCTGGGAAGCTGTGCACTCCTGAGACAGCTACCAAGTGACCTCTGTGTGTTCACCGGACCAGTACCTTTCCCCCTCAGGTGAGCAACAAGGCTGAACTAGTCCTTGCGTCTGCAGGATGACATGGAAGCAATGAATGGCTTGAGTTCACTGACTAAAGTTACCCTTTCCTCCACCCTCCCCTATGAAATGAGGGTTAATCCCTGGTGTGATTTGCTTCCCTTCAGAAGCTACAAAAGACAAACATTCCTTTCACAGCTGGATGGGTACTGTGGGCAGTTGCCTTCAGGGGTGCTCAGGCACACTGGCTCTCCAGACCTCCCAGCAGCCTCAGGAGGTCTCTTTTACAACTGAGGAAACTGATGCGCACTCAGTAAGAAACCCTGCCGAGCTCCACCATGAGTATTTGAGCCGCCTTTAACCACAGCATTGAGAGATGTGGAGTGCAGGCATTTCATTTTTCACATCTGGTCTCTCATTTATTTATTTAACTTTACTTTCTGTGCATTAGTATGGAGGTGTTAGATACCCTGGAACCTGAGTTACAGACAGTTTTAAATTGTCATGTGGGTGCTTGGATTTGAACCCAGGTCCTCTGTAAGAGCAGTCAGTGTTCTTAACAGCTGAGCCATCTCTCCAGCCCCCAGTCTCTCTTCTTAAAGCAAAAAGCTATCCCAGCTCTTGGGAGGCTGAGACAAGAGGATGGCATGTTCAAGGCTAACCTGGGCTATGTATCAAGAGTCTGACCTAAAACAATAAAGAGCTGGAGAAATGGTTCAGCATCTGAGTGTACTGGCTTCCCTTGCAGAGGATCCAGGGTTCAGTTTCCAGTACCCACATGGCAGTGCACAACCAGTTCTAGTCAATCTGATGCCCTCTTCTGGCCTTCATAAGTACTGCATGCACGTGGTGCACATACATACATACATACATACATACATACATACATACATACATACAACTTTTTAAAAAGCAACACCAAAAATTATGCTACCTATAAGTGCTTGCACCTGAAAGGGCAGGGGCGGTATCAAGATATCTTAGTACACATTTGCCCAGCTTGTATCAAGCTAGGTATCTGGACACAGCAGGCATGTTCCCGTCCATGTGTTTAGACTGAGCCCTGTTTCCTGTGGACCACACCGCCACTTATCCTTTCATTCATTGATTCACTGGGTGTTTCCTGAGGGACCACAGCCTGAATGCACTTGTACTGTACTGCACTCAGGCATGCAGGGGGCTTGAGGGGCTAGAGAGAAGGTTCAGCTGGTAAAGTGCTTGACACACACATGGAGACTGGAGTTCCACCCCCAGTACCGAGTCCCAAGCCAGGTCAGAGAGCATGTGCCTGTAATTCCCAGCACTTCTAAAGTACAGGTGGGAGGAGCTCTGGGGGCTTGCTGGCCAGACAGCCTAGCCGAATCCCAAAGTAGCCGGCTCTGGAGGATCGACTCCAGAGCAAGGTTGACCTCTGACCCCTACACACACGTGCACACTTGTACATACACTTGTATGTACTCACACACCTAGTGACACTCAGATTAAATGTGCCAATATGTTTCTAAATTCCAGATGTCATTTTTCCCACTAAACGATGTCTGGCGAAGGAGAGCTCACCCACCCTACGGTCTATTGTGAACCCGGCAGACAGAGATGACAGCACCTAAGTGGCCTCTGCGGGACCTCCTGCAGCTCGGATCCCTATGCTCACCCCAGTGTGCTGACGGGAGAGGACAGCCACCCGCATGTGGCTCCCCAGCCACTCACGCTCTGATTCCACAGGCCGGAGCTCAACCAGAGGGGTTACACAAGATGTCTAGCCCACGTAGCACCGAGGCAGTATGGGAGGGATGCTCGGCCCAGTCCCAGGACCCAGCTGGCTCCTGGCAGCTCCCACCTAGCTGGAGATGGAGCCTTCTCCCTAAGGAGCCAGGACTGTCCCCTTCCTGCTGGCTGCATGGAGAGTGGTTTTTCCTCCAGGCCCCCTCTCATAGCTCTTTGCCAAGCTCCCCCATTACCATACCAAAAGTGGGACAACTCACTCTTGTTGGTGACCCCAGCAAACGAAGTAACTCTCAGGGTCCTGATCCCTCATCTGCCCACGTAGGGACAGGTTAGGTCAGTGGCTTTTAGACTCCGGGGTAATGAAGACGAACGGCATTAAAAAGGGGGAGAGACCCTAATTAGGTCTGCCAACTCTCTCCTTTGCCAAGTAAAGGCCTCTTAAACAATGGCCACGGACAGTTACCATGAGTACAGCAGCCAATCAGTTCTGAATTGTAACATGGCGACTGCTTAAGCCTCTTCTAACTCACTGTGTCTCTGTGTCTTGTCTGCATCACCAACGCCTGGAAAGCCCTATGGGGTGGAGCTACACAAAAGCACAAGGAAGGGGCTGAAGAGACCTCAGTGAAGTGCTTGCCACACAAGCCTGAGGGCCTGAGTTCAGTCCCCAGCACCCGGTAAAACCCAGGCATAGCAGTTACTCATCCGTAACCCGAGTGCTGGGGAGGTAGACACAGACACAGGAGGATCCCTGGGCTCACCAGCCGGAGGGCTCATCTGACCAGACTGATGAGCTCTGGTTCAGTAAGAGCCTGTCTCAAACATAAGGTGGGTGGGGAGGTGGTGGTGCATGCTTTTAATCCCAGCACTTCGGAGGCAAGTAAGTGAGCTGCTATGAGTTCGAGGCCAGACTGATCTACATAGAGTTCCAAGCCCAGCGGAGATATACAGTGAGACCCTGTCTCAAATCTCTCTCTCTCTCCTCTCCTCTCCCTCCCTCCCTCCCTTCCTCCCTCTCTCTCTCTCTGTCTCTCTCTCTCTCTTCCTCCCTCCCTCCCTCCCTCTCTCTCTCTCTCTCTCTCTCTCTTCGTCCCTCCCTCCCTCCTTCTCTCTCTCTCTCTCTCTCTCTCTCCCTCCCTCCCTCCCTCCCTCCCTCCCTCCCTCCCTCCTTCCTTCTCTCTCTCTCTCTCTCTCTCTCTCTCTCTCTCTCTCTCACACACACACACACACACACACACACACACACACACACACGAGGACCAGCACGTGGCACCTCAGGGGAGAGACCCAGAGGGCCTGCCCCCGCTCCCACACTATGTGGAGAAACCCAGAGGGCCTGCCCCCGCTCCCACACTATGTGGCAGGCAGGCAGGAGTTCTGCCCTCCACCCCCTCAGACAAGACAGTCAGGCAGGGCTGGGAGCAAGGGCCAGGTACACTCTGCAGAAGAGGCTAACAGTGGCTCCCTCTCACTGGGCTTTCAGATTGCACTCAGACGACGTGGCAGGGGTGGGGTGTGTTTTGATGATCTCCTTTAGGCAGAGAACACCATTTTTAAAAGCACATATCTCCATCTTGCATATTATCCAATTAATGTGTTCCCCCTCTGCCACGTGTGGTGGTGCACACCTTTAATCCCAGCACTTGGGAGGCAGAGGCAGGTGGATCTCCATGAGTTTGAGGCCAGCCAAATATACACACACACACACAAAAAAAACCCTGTCTCAACCACCTCCACAATCTGAGCCGATTTTCCACACTACCTCCTGTTTGTTGAGCTCACTCCCACCCCAGGACCTTTGCCCCGGCTCTGTCCCCCTCCAGAGTGAACTTCCTCCACACATCGGCAAGATGCTTCCCCCTCAAGTAAAGACCTGGATCATCAAGGCTCTCCCACAAGCCACCTACTTTAACATGACCCAGCCTGTCCACAAGTCTGCCTCTGCTTCCAATCCACGTGACCGTGCCCTGACTCTTCCGTCCCATGGAACGAACGGTCCCTACACAGTTTCTGCCGCTGCTGCTTTCTTCAGACACTGCCCATTGCCCAGCTGCCCTTGTGAGAACACGGGGTCTGCAGAGCTGGTGCTCAGTTAAGCGTTTGGGAAAGAGTGGGTGAGCAGAGACCCCGAGAAGAGGAACTCCCCCAGTCTCATCACTAGCAAATGCCTGAGCTGGGACTGAGCTCCAAGACCAGGCAGCCTGGCCTTTGTGCTCGTCCACAGCTGAAGAGCAGAAGGCATACTTGGAAGTCGGCACGGGGAGGTGGGTCCCAGGACGCGTCTGGCAGCCTGTGCCCTCTGATGCTGGCTGGTCAGCTTTCAGCTTTGACTGAACCTGAAGTCGCCATGGAAACACACCTCAGAAGGAACGTCTGTGAAGGTGTTTCCTGAGAGGGAGAGCAGAGAAAGGACGATCCCACCCTGAATGTGAGCAGTCCCCGGGGTAACCTAGAGCCCTAGACTAAATAAAATGGGGGAAGGAGGCAGCAAGCTGAGCGTTTCCTGCCTGCAGATGCAACCCACCAGCCACTTTGCAGTCCTGTGGCATGCCTTCCCGCGGGGGTGGGTGTCCCTTAAAACTGTTAGGCAACATAAACCCTCCCTTCCTGAAGCTGGCTTTGTCAGATATTTTGTCCCAGCCATGAGAAAAGCAACACAGAGATGCCCAGCGCCCTGCAGTGGCCAGCCTAGAGCAGGCATTCATTGGGTCAACAACTGTTTACAGAATGCAGAAACCTGCCATTTGTCCCACTGTTTCCTCCAGATTCCTGGGGGAAATAAGCAGTTTCCCAAAACTGTGGCTGTGTGTGACAGATACTGGAGTGGACTCTGGGAATGGATCCACAGCCTCCTTTGGAGCCAACAGTGACAAATGCTTGAGCCACCAGAGTGACCAGAGTGGGGAAAGCAGCTGACCGATTCATGTGTGGGTAGGTAGCCCTGGGTAGGGACAGCTGTGTCCTTAGCTGGGGGCAGAGGAGACAGGCGTGCAGGAGGCAGGTGGGAAGTCAAAGGCTAAGGAGATAGCTTTCACGGTAGTTCCGGGCTTGGGATTCTTAGTTCTTGCTCAAGCACAGTTCTGGTTCCCTTCCCCGAACTTCCCGACATCCCCCCTCCAGGGGAAGCTGTGCTCAGACGCAGGTACCCTTGAGATGGACCTTGAATCCAGGCTATGGAGAGAGATAACAGCCAGCCTTGACATTTAGAAGAAAAGCAAAATAACGGACAAGGGATGAACTGGGGTCAGAGTGTCCGGATGTAATTCACGCAGCCACTGTGTGAAAGTTCGTGTCTTCATCTGAGTCTCAGTCTCCTCGTCAGAAGAGTAAGAAGATCCTAGCTGCCCTCTAGGCTTGGCGAGGGACCTAGTGTGGCCAGTGACTGCCTGACACCAGTCAATATTGAAGGCTTGCTAGGAATTTAACACGTTCTGTGTCTAATTGTCAGCTGAAAATCATCCCTAACCTTGTCTGACCTGGGGGCTGCAGATGTCTCATTCCCCCTTCTAGGTACAGATGGGAAGAGAAACTGGGCAGGGCCACTGAACTAGTTCAGGATTACAAAAGAGCTGCACCCCCACCCGGCCTACATCCCTAGGCCATCCCAGCTTCCTCCTTGCCCCAAACAAGCAGGTGGTGGCCAGGCCACAAATTTCAGGGAAAAGAAATACTACAAGGGTGGGGTAGGGATGGGTGGGGTGTCATCTTTTCCGAGACAACAGGTCATTCAGGGAAGATACCTCCAAAGCTCTTAGGAGTTGGAGGTCCTGTCCCAGTGGCTGACGCAACCCCCATCTTCTTTCCCAATCCAACCTATTGTCCCAAAGATAAACTTTTCAGGAAACACAAGAAGCTAAAATATGAGGTGGCAAACAGGATGTGCTAGAGTGGCCTAAAACTTCCCGGGAGGCTTGGGAAGCCGGCAGATTGAAGTATCGCCTAGCAGAAGAACCCAGGAGGGACTCAAGGCATCTGGATTGTGCTCCTTGGCCAATAACTGGGGAAACTGAGGCCCCCAGGGACCAAGCTCCCCAAAGTCATAACGGAGGGACTCCAGGTTCAGAACATTGGTTAAGACAAGGAAGGGGTGGGTGAGCCGAGTTGCCTGGGCGCTGTCCCAGGTCCCCCATCTACCAGTGCTCTGTGGCCCTGACTTACTTTGCCACAACTGGGCCTCAATTGCCTCCTTTATAAAATTTGAGGCCACAGTGACAGACCTTCACGGCTGCTATAAGGATTAAAGGAACTCCATCTGGTGGAAGATGACATATATAAAGCTAGCCTTACTGTCATGTGTCAGTCATCACCCATTTCCCCAGCCACACCCAGAAAGAGAGAGGGCCCACCCATACAAGACGACCTCCAGAGGAGGCTGGCCCCTTTGGTCACCCTTCCTCAAAGGCAAGCATCTCTTAGTTCTCAAACTCCTGGCTTACAAGACTTGATACAGGGCTGCGCCCCCATCCCAGCCCCAGCGAACAATGCTGGCAGCCACCGGGGCTCTTGGCTGTCTTGGCCAACAACCTGAGATAAACAAGGAAGTATCTCTCCCTCCACCCTAGCCCCATCCCAAAGGCCCAGAGACTGGAGGGGTTAGGTCCATGAGCAAGAATTTAACACCAGCTGGGTGTGGTGGAGCACACCTGTAACCTCAGCACTCCGAGGTAAAGATGGTCGGATTAGAAGCTCAAGTCTCTCAGGTACAAAGTGAGTCTCAGGCTATCCTGGGTAATACGAGACCCTGTCTCAAAATTAAAACAGAAACAAAGCGACAAAAAACTCAAAAGCACCAAAGCCTGGCAAGTCCAAGGTTCTGATTCAACTCCTTTCCCAAACATTTTAGCATGTTCAAGGCCCCTTGTTCCTGGCCCTCCCAAGTCGTCTTTACATATCAGCTGCATGGGGGCTGAAGACACAGAGCGTCATCTCAAATGCAGGAGGCTCTGGGTTCGATCCTCAGCAGCATTACAAAAAGAAAAGGTGAGATGACATCACAATCCTAGGAGCCAGCCAACGAGTTAGTGGCTGATGCCCTGCAAGTGCCAAGGACAGGCAGCAACCATGCCGGGATCCTGTGGCCTCTGACACAGCCCACAGGCTCTCAAAGGGTCAGGCCACAAACGCCCAGCCTGGCACCTGTTGAGCAGCAGGAACCTGTAACAAACACCCACAAAGACAGCAGGCTCACATTCCCCAGAGCCCTTCTGGGGACTTATCCGGACACCGTGTTCTTGCCAATAGTCAGGCAGCTAAAGAAAAACACCCCAGTGACCACGCACATAAAGCACACCTCACAGAAATTCCATCTCCAGCTGCCTGTGACATGGCCACAGCAAGGTCACAACTGGTCAGACCTGCAGGGGACACTGAATCCCCAGAGGCTCATGTGACCCTTATCACCATCTCCTTTATAATATATTAAGGCAAGAGCAAGAGAGACGGCTGCCCTCAATGCCAGCGGGCAAGGACAGAGCGGTACTGCCAGAGACACAGGAAAAGACACACCTGCACAGTCTCCTGGGTCA